AGGACCGGAAGAGGGGCGTGCGGGGCTGGTAAGCGGACAGAGCGCCCTGCCCTGGCTTCAGGTCCAACTTAAGGAAGCCTCAGGAAACAGGCACGGTGCCCAGCACCGAGCATCGGAGTCCTGCGTCTGGAAACTGACTCTGTACCTCGAAAACTGGCAGAGACGGGCCTGAGCCGGCCAGGTCCCTGTCACGGCAAAACACGCAAGGCTTTCCCCTGTCCACGGCGCCCAGATCCTAAGACACACTTTCGAGGGCTAAGAAGAGAAACAAAGCAGAATGAGATGGGTACGCAGAAAAGCCACCGTGAATATCAGTGTTTACACACAACTTTCAGTCACTAACAAGTTAAAAACTGAGTAAAATCTCCACAGGTCCCAAACACTATTATTAACGTCGTCCCATGTGTCATTTCACGTTAGGGGACATATTGCTGCCTCCATTTACAGGGGAGGAAACTGAGGCCCAGGGTTGAGTCGTTTATCCAACGTAAAGGGCCATGAACAGCAACGGTCACCAGGTCCTTCTGACTCCGTGCGAGCACGCACACGCGCACACACACACACGCGCACACACGGTGCTGTGAGCGCTCTCTGCCTGCATCTGCCACGTGTGCGAAAACACGGCTCCGACCCCTCTATCTGCTGGGACAGCAGAGCGATAATGAACCCAGCGGCTGGGAATCGGCCCAGATTCGTGACATATCCGTCACCGTGAAACGTGAGAGAAGGACACACGCCGTCCAGCGGCGTCAGCGTGCGAGGCACGCAGCGGAGGAAAACAAGGCGGGTTGTGTCAACGTCTCCCAACGAGGAGACCTGAACGGGGGCCAGAGAAACATCTGGGGTAACAGATCCAAGGGAGCCATGGTTCCTGGTGGGCAGGCACTGCAGAGCCCCCCAAACCAGCCGCGTCCTCAGATTTCACTCCCCCGCACACGCACACCGAGCACCCCGGGCCGCCCGACTCCAAACGCTGCTTCTCAGCGTTGACCACACAACCCGGCCATCTCTAAGGGGTCGAAATCCCATAAACGTGCTTTTCTGGCCACTAAACACTTTATTGCGATTGCAAACAACAGAAACCCAGCATCGATAGCTGACTCTGATAAAATCGAGATTTTTTCTTTTTTTTTTTGGCCACGTTTATCTACGATACCTAATATGGCAAGAAACGGGCTGCTGAATGTGCTTGGGATTCCAGCTTCTGGCGTCGGCCCAAAGAGTGAGCTTGGGCATTCCAAAGAAAATAAGCTATAGGTCTGCGAGTGTGGTTTTCATGAAGCTACCTCGGTGACTGACGCCTGGAAGCAGCATCCGTGCCCAGCACTGACCCATGGGGTGGGCGGGGGCCTTCACTGTCCAGAGCCCTGTGGGACCGGTCACCTGCCCAATGCTCCTCCACGGAAGGGCTCAAGTGCACGGCTGAGCTCGACACAGCTCCGTTCTCGTGCCTTCTGCAAAGGGCTATGCAGAAGGCCCCACGGCCTCGGGTGGGCCGAGACTGTGCTGACAACTGCCGGCTCCTTTCCCAGGCACCCGTGTTCCGTGACGTGCACACTGTCCTCTGTGGCAGCCTGCGCTGCTGCGTTCGTTTCTGGGTCCGCACGGGGTGACGGTGTGGGCGCACCCTTGGGTCCTTGCTTCCTATTCCACGGCGGGAATACTGCCTGCTCAGCCTACAAAGCACCAGTCTGTGACGTGTGGACGTGCAGAGCGAGGTCGCACAGCCACTGCAGGCTGCTCTGCTGCCATGCCGTTCCTGTGCCTGCTCGGCCTGCGCCCTGGACGGCAAACCTCCAGAGACTGCACCCCGCACTGCCCTCCCCAGAGGCAAACACGAGCTGGAGGCAGGATTATGGGGCCAACCTCATCACACCATGCTGGTCCCAGCAGCCAAAGGATGTCCCCATCCCACACCATGCTAAGGACTTCAGTTCATGGTTTCTCAACCTTTAACGTGCACGTAAGTCCTTCGGGGGGCTAGTAAAACGTAGCGCCTGAGTCAGGGCGCCTGGGAGGGGGCCTGGGTCTCTGCATTTCTAAGGAGCTCCCACGAGGAGTGGGTGCTGCTGGCCCACAGAGCACTTACCAGGGGTTACCTCCCAAGCACGAACGAACACTTGCCTTGAGTTTCACAGTCAACAAGACGTCTCACAAAACCACGCATTCCCATCGTTCTGAGCCAGAAGTCACACTCAGATCAGAGCGCTCAACAAGGTCGCAGTGGAGATGAACTTGACCCAGGCGATGTGCTGCCCAGCCCCAGGCAGTTCTCACCCAACCCTGGCTCCCAACGTCAGCTTAGGCCGCGTGCCCTAGACAGCAGGCACAGACGTGCATTACTGGCCCCAGAGCTCCAGGCTCAGCAGGCCTGGGTGCAGCCAGCAGTCGGCGTCTCCAGCAAGTTCACAGTCAAGGTTACGCAGCTGGGCAGGACAACACAGGCCCTGAGATCCCTGAGTGTGTGACCTCGGTCTCGGGGCCTAGACTAGACCCAGCACACATTCCGCATGTCCCTGGACCCCAGGTGCCCGGCTCACCCTGAGCCAACCGTCCAGCCCCGCAGCCCTGGGTCGCGCTGCTCTGGCTGGGCCTGCCACATCAGGCCACACGCGCCACTCAAGACTCTCTGTGCCATTTCCCTCAAGGAGATGAAAGCTTCATCTGCACTGATGATGACCTCCACTCTGCAGCTGCTGTGTGGCCCTGCTGTGCGGCCCTACTGTGTGGCCCTGGGAACCTCTCTGTGGCTGTGAGCTTCGTGCCCCTCACCTGTGCAGTGGGGCGGACGACGCCCCACCCACAGGACTGCAATGGGGCCCAGGGGAGCGGGGGCTCTCTCCCTGCCTGTGCGCCAGAACCCCAGGGAGGCGTGCAAAGTCGCAGTGCCCGTCCCTCCCCGAATCCTGGGCAGGTGCCTCCGCGTACCTCCCTCCCATCGATTGTAACGTGCGGCCAGGGTTGATAGCCACCACAGCGGTAAAGCATGTGCTTTAAACATGGAGAACGTTCCCCAGACTGATTCATAGCTCACTGTCAGGACCGAATGAGGAAATGAACGCCAACAGCCAGCGTCCCTCCGGCGTCCCCTCTCCCAGACCAGCAGAGAGACCGTGACGGGCGCGCGCCATCTCTACCCTGCACAGAAACGGCGATGACAGGGCAGTGAGCGGAGCTGGCGGGGCCGGCTCCCCGGTGGCCTGCTCTTGCCAGCGCCTGTCTGTGCCCAGACCGTGGCCCGGCCAAGCTGTGATGCGAGGCGGAAGGCATCTCTGGACTTCGATGAAGCTCAGGAGGACGGGAGCTTGATCAGAGCTCATAGGGACAAGTGAGTCACACACAGGCGCTTTCCAGCTCAAGCCCTCAGGGACCAACTGGGCCAGGCTCCCCCAAATTACCACAAAGAATCTGGCTGGAACAGTTAGGAAATGGGGTCCATCCAAGAACAGCTGGGAGCTCCAGTCGGTGACACGTGAACAGGTACGTGTTGAACAGATGAATAAACCAGTAAACAACGTACCCAGGGGACAAATGCTGCACGGCTCCGCTCACGTGGGGGACCCCGAGGAGCCAAAGGTATGGTGGGTGATGGGGTGGGGGAGCGGGGAGTGGGGGGCTGGTGCTTAACGAGCGTACAGTTTCAGTTCCGCGGGACGAGAAGGACCCAGGTCTGCTGTGCGACACGGTTACGACGTGGCGACGAGCCAGGAGGGCCGCCCTCGTGTCTCCCCAACAGGGAGGGAGGCGGAAGACGACCAACAAAGCCACGAGGACAAGGTGACGAGCACGGAGCTGACGAGAACGTCGAGCCCCGTGAAACCCGCCCGCTGAGAGGCGGCTCCGCGGGACGCCAGTCAGGTCTCTCCGCGGTGTCACGGCATCCGTCACGCTGTGGCTGGTCAGGAAGCCCAGCTCCGCCCTGTCCTGAGTGCTGGGGTCACCCCGAGGCCCGCCCCAGCGGCAGCGGGCAGTGAGCTCTCCCGCGCCCCTCCTGCTCACGCCCGGGGGGGCCGGACAGCACGCGTCGGCCGCTCCCAGGGTGGCCGTCCTCTCCTCCACCTAGGGACACCTTGGCCCTCACGGAGGAGCCCGCCAGGAGGGGACCTCGGAGGCCTGGCTGTCCGCCGTGCACCTGGTCTCCTCGGCCAGGTCACGCACCGCGACAGGAGACGCAGAGACGAGACCACACACTTCCTCCCTCTTAGGGCGACGCCGAGGTGACCGCCCTTCGGAAAGCGCTCCGCTTCCGCCACCGAGACCGGCCGCCTCGTTCGGCCTCGCTGTAAGCGTCACGGGCTGGACCGTGTCCCCCACACCCAGACGCTGAAGCCCTAATCCCCGGGGCCTCGGGACGGGCAGTGCTTGGACGTGGCCGTGGGGGGTGGCGGAGGTTGAAGCCGCTCCCATTCGCATTCGGCCCCTGCTGCGTTTCTCTCTGTGACGCGCGCATCTTTAGTGCCGCGCCGCTAATCCACGTTCCCCCGCGGTTCCTCCTTCACGGTTGCTCTGTGACGCGCACATCTTTAGTGCCGCGCTGCTAATTAATCCACGTTCCCCCGCGGTTCCTCCTTCACGGTTTTGTGCACTACCGTTTTTTTGTTTTTTTTTTTAAGAACACGCACGTGGTGTCATAGCAGAGCTGACTACGTGTCAACGTTCAGGAGGGAACGCCATCGCAGGTCCCCGAGGCCTGGGTAAGAAAACGCCTACAATCGAGATCCCAGTCCCACACTATGGCACAAACCTCGTCACAGAGCACGGGATTCCGGCTAACGTAGCAACACCGCCTCCTTGTGGCCACGCCTTCGATCGCAGGTAAAAAAGCGACGTATTATAAATGAATTTTTAAAAGCCACGGGGGAAATGAAGCCACTACACAAGCTGAGTCAAACACTCCCTCACCTGGAGGCAGCTGCTTCTGACCTCCAGCTTCCTGGTTGGTTTCCTGGAAGAGACTGTTCTCGGGGGTCGCGCCGCCCCACACGGGGAGCTGCACTGACCTGTCATGGAGTTCTCGGAGGTGCAGAGCTGCTCTCTCAGCTTCTCCACGTCGTCGGGGTGCACCTGCTCATACAGGGTGCTCCCAAACCACTCCGACTGGGGCTGGTTCAGGACGGGGGTGACGGAGTCGGACACGTAGATCACGCGCCCGGTCTCGGCCGCCACGACAAAGAGGAACCCGTCGGCTGCCTCCAGGATGAGATGCTTCAGTTCCTGGGAAGAGAAGGCCACAGCTGGGACCAGGCACTGACCGTCCCGGCCAACGCGCTCGTCTCCTGAGTCACCTTCACCCTTCACTCAGCTACTCGCTGGGACACAGGGAGCCTCGGCAACTGTGACTGCTGTCACCAGACAACGAGCTAAGAACCGCACAGACCCGCGCGAGCCCTAAGACACAGCCGCTCCGAGCACCGCCAGCCCTAGCTTCACCCGTCCTCTCTCGGGATGACAGGAAATGACGTGAGAGCAAAGAGTGACCACCGGAAGGCGCTGGGTTGTCGCAAGCGTGCACGGCGTCACCTGCCATTCGAACAGCAGACACGTCACTCGAACAGAAGAAGGGCGCGGTCCCGAGGTGCTCTTGGAAGGAAGGGAAGGAGGATGGGAAAGGAGGGGACAGAGAAAAGGGACCGCGTGTGTCCCCACCCGCCGCCTGCCACCCTGCCAGGGCGCCTTTGCCCTCTCTCTCCCTGTGCCGTCTGAGCTGAGTGCTGGCGCGGGGTGTGAGCGTGTCACCTCGCGTGCGCACGTCGGAGCTAGCTGACGGCCGACGTCGCGACAGACTCTCGGAGCAGCCCCAGGAGGTGGCAGGGCGCGTGGCGTTGTCCGCGTCACTTCGCAGTGATTGGAGGGGAGAGTGCGCCAGCCCCGGGGCCGCCCTGACTCAATGGGCTCGTGCGTGGAGCAGAGGCAGGAAGGAGGCCGCGTGGGTCGGTGAACGGGCGGAAGCCCTGCCAGCCGCCCAAGGGGTGTGACGGGTGACGTTGGTTTGGTGAACGGGTGACGTCTTTCCTGTAACGCTGCCTGCCCGTGCCATTCTCTCCTCAAGCCCAGAGCCCTCTCCCGCCCGAGAACGCGGGCTCCGTTCCTGCCGGAGGTGAGGGGCTAACTCCGCCCATGCGCGCGTGTCTGCAGGTGCGCCTCGGGCCCCAGGGCTTCTGGGTCTGCGGCCGGCAAACGCTTTTTCCGGGAACCCTCTGTGGGACGCCCTCGGCAGCACGGCGTAAGGGCCAGCTGCTCGGAGGCAAAGGCTGGGTCGTCCTGGGCAGGTGGCTCCGCCCCACGTCTGTCCCCGAGGGGGCCCCCAGGACTCGCGGCTTAGAAAACTGGACCTGCTGCTGAGCAGAACCTGGGGGCTCCGTGAGCGTCTCGGAGCGCGTGGCTGGGTCGGAAGTCCCGCGTCCCGTGCCTGGGAAACGAGGGCGGAGCGGGCTGCGCGAGCATTTTTGAAGGACAGGTTCATTCCGTCCATTTCTCTCGCTCGGCACTTCTGCTTTCCCTGTGTCTAGATGCTCCCGACTTCGCAGGGTTGGGGCGGCACTTGTTTCGGTCCTGGGAAGATCTGCCCCACAGGAAGGACTGTGGAAAACGGAACAGGACGCCTGAGAAAGCGGAGGGTTCCGTCGCGGGAGGAGAGGAAGTGGGGCTGACGACTTCGCTTGTGTTTTCACAGATGCGCCCGGTTTGCGAGGACCGTGGGAAGCTCGTGTGTATCCTAGGCCCCTCCTTCCGCCGCCCTCCTCCCCAGTTCCGTCTTCCAGGAGCTCGTCACTCGTCACCAAGGGCCTGTGTCCGGCGACCAGACCGGCCTGGCTGTCTTCTAGTCGAGCCGACCATGAGGCTCGGGGCACGGACCTGGGCGTAGGAGGCCGTCCCCTCTGCCCCGTGCCCCCGCCCCTGCTGCGCGACTCTGGCCCGTGACTTAACTCCCTCAGCTTCTGTTTTGTGTTTTTTCCCCAGATTTTTTTCAGAGATTTTGTGGGGTTAAATGAGATCTTGTGTGTGAAGGGCTCAGTAACGGCTTAGCACACAGTAGGTGCGCAACAAATGTAGCTGTTGTATCGTCAACAACGTGCTGAGTGACAGAGGAAAACATGGCAGGACTCTGCAATGCCGTAACGGTCTGCCATCTCCGCCCTCCTTTCTCAATCCTTGCTCGTGCAAAGATAAAGAGATCCATTTCAAACACGGATCCAGCAGGATTTCTGTTAAGAATTAAGGAAATGGAGAGGAAACGCTTTTGACCGATCCCAGTGGTTAGCAGGTGCTTAACCCACCTCTGTGTGGTCACCTGCCAGCCGGTCGCCCCTCGTTTTACTCCGAACCCCACGGTGAGAATTCTCCTCCACGCCTTCCTAACCCGTCACCACAACCAGGTGACGTGGGAGCTATTGCCACGCTCCTTTTCCCAGAGGTGGGGACCTGGCTGGCACCCGGGCCCTGAACCGCCACACTGCGAGTCCTCCCAGGGGTGGCCACCCCACTGCCCGCCTTCCTGACAACTGCGACCTGAGCCACCGCGTGGCCCGGGGATGATGGCAAACAGCATGACGCAACTTCCGGCTAAAATGCCCCCCACAGTGCAGGCGGAGCGCACGCAGCAACTCCTCCGGGTTCTCTCTCCCAGCCTGCCCGCCACGGCAGGATCGGACCGGTTCCGGCTCCGCAGGACAGACCCCTCCGGGTCCCCACACGCCCTCTGCGCTCTGGCCTGCGGCTCACGCTCGCTGTCGTCCTCACGTCGAACCCCTCAGGCCCCCCCTTCCTATGCACACTCTGGGGCTCCTTCCAGGCCACGGCCTGTGCCTTACAGGGGTGCAGGGCGGAGACGTGCCGCCCTGGCCCCACGCCACGGTGCCTTCCCCACCTGTGACCTCAGACGAAGGCCCTTCAATGCAGCCGCTCCCTCACCCCGAAGGGAAGAGCATCGGCCCGTCCGCCCGACGACCGGCGTGCGGGGCGCGGTCCATCTGTCGAACCCCGTCCCGCTAACCCCTTCACGGGCTCGCCCTCCTCGTCCAGACTAGCACAGCTGTCAAGACATGGCTGTGGGTCTGACCGGCCCGTGTCCCCACCCCGGCCCGGCTGCACCGCCCAGCAGCTGGCTGACTTGGGGCAAACTGCCTCACCTTCCCGTACAAAACAGGGACCAACAACAGCGGCTGCTTCCTCGGGCGGGGACGAGGGGTAAATGGAACGATGCGCGGCGAAAAGTGCCAGCTATCACGGTCCTTGTCACCTCCATCACCATGACTGCCACCAAGACGTTCGCCGTGACGGTCACCGCCACTGTCCCGGTAGAAGACTTGGGCGCGCCCCCGACTTCTTCCAGGGGAGCCCGCCATCCGGGGGCCAGCCACCCTTCTGTGAGTGACGCCCCATTACGGTACGTGGCAAACGCCAAAGCGAGACGGAAAGGTCGGACCAACCGCCCTGGTGAAGGGCGGACATCGCAGGTCTTGCCACCCCCCTCGCCCCGCACCCCGCAGCA